GGAAACTTTTGTATAAATGCCTCGTGCGATTTTATATTGTCGGATAATGTAGTTTAAATAAATAATTATCATAATTCGATGTTTCGTTGTTATTTTAATTGATTCTCACATTAAACCACCTAATAGAATTATTGGTGTGAATTTCGAAACTCGGGGGATTAAAGCGGCGAGAGACTCGTATGAATGTTGCATGCGTGAGAGGACGTGGAATGCGGCTCACGACAGGAGCACGAAGACTTACTTAGTTAGCAAACCGTGTGTCCTTTGGTGTTTGCAGTACTTGGCCAGCAGCCAGAAGACGTTGACGGACTTCGTCGAGAGGGCTTTGAAAATGGTTGCACCGATGGAGTACGCCTCGAGGGCGGCCAGTCATGAATTAGAACTCGTCCAGGGACTTGGCCTCCTGGACAGCGAGCAGATCGCTGTATTCGTCTGCACCACGGCGTTCCCCTGCGTCGCCTGTCCGCTTTTCGTCTACGAGCCGAGGTACAAACTGATGGTCAGGAGATGCGTTGAAAGCGGCGTGCGACATTTTGGAATTGTACCGTGCCTCAACAGGGAAGCTACCGGACCGAAAAGGTAAGGACTTAATTTACTGATAATAATTAAAGCATTTAGTATGTAAAAATACACGGAATATAAAAAACTGAGTGCACACTACAATAGTGAAGTAACACAACTAAACTAACAATAAACTAAACTAAATGAGTAGTTAAAGAAATAGAAATACATTTTTCAACTGATATTATAAACGGTTTACTTTGCATAAATGTCCCTAGTCTACTGATAATACGGTTTGAGTTCTCTACTCTCAATTATACTGCTTATTGTATATCCAAAAAGCTAATTAGAATTCTCTTTTCCGCATTTTTATCTATTCTTTTTTACACATTTTTAAATATTCTTCATCTAGCAATATTTAGTATTTGATAACAAATAATTGTATGAATGAACTTAAACTTCAAAGATTAGACTTGAGAATTAAAATCTAATAATCTAAAATTCTAATCTATATCATAAACCTTAATCCTTCGTCTGCAGTGGCGGAGTGCATGTGAGATTCCCCGTCTTTTACGAACTATAGGGAGGATCACAAATATGTGTTAGTGAAATATCGGTGTGGTTCAGTAATGACTCCGGTTTAGAAATTCGCGTATCAGTAGTCGGAGGGTTAAAGAGTTTAATTGCACAATATTACTAAAGAAATAATATTATTGCTTGTTCTAGATACGCGGAGTATGGTACGATGCTCGAAATCCGGGATAGAGTTCTGCTGCAGGATGGCTGCAGCATCCTGAGTACGGTCGGCGGAAGGAGATTCCGGGTGCTCTCTGGTGGTGAGAGGGACGGCTACGATACGGCTCAAGTAGAATTCCTGAGGGACACCGTTGTACAGGATGATCAACTGTTGAATCTCTCGGAACTGCACCTCAAGGTGAATTTATATCCAATTAACATATCGTCGCTTCTAACTTGCCTACGTCGTATGAATTTCAAATATCTTAGTCTAATTTTCATCACTTGTGCGCAATAAATAATACAGAAAATCAATTGTTCTTTCAAACCTTTTGTCATTTAATAACTGATATTATTGTACAATATGATCTAAATTAACATGTGACTTATTTATTAGAAGAAACGTCATATAAATTATTACGTGAATTATGAATTGAATGATCTCATTGAATCATTATATAATAAATTATTCTATAATCGTGTATAAATCGTCATGTACCAGGTCCGAGCGAAAGGTAGAAGATGGTGGGACACGGTACCATCTTCCCAGCAATTGGAAATCCAGCGAGTGTTTGGTCGTATGCCGAATACGGAGGAGGACTGGGCCCATTTGCCAGATGGACCATCGTGGACCTGGTGGCTGCTAGCGATATTACCATTAGGCCCGCAGCTGCAGGTGGGAATACTCGGGACGACGAGTTTGGAGAAGAGATTGAGAGCCATCGAGAAGACACTTGACCATATGAAGCAGAGACAATTGACTGTCGCGCCGGCAACCTCCGAGGAGACCACCACGTCGTCGAGTATATGCCGGAACGAGGGTGGTCTGACGGACACCACAGTGTCGGTAGTTCAACAATCTTAAAAACTATCCATTATGATAATAAGAAATGGTGACAACCGCTATAGTATGGCGGATCGCAAAGGACTAATTCGACTTTTACTTGACGTACAAAGTACTTGGAGAGTAGCTTATCGAACTTTTTACTCGGTATTAATATACACGCATTATATCCATAAGCGAGGCAAGTGGAACCTGTGGCTCGTTCCCTTTACAACACGCACTCGACTCCTACCCCCGACTCCCCACTTTTTCTTCTTATACTTAACCCCGTTAGTTGCGTTTTAAACTCGAGTACTGTCTACCCTCTTCCCCGTCTCCGACCCTTTTACTCAGTACTCGTTAAACTCGTACGACCGAGCGCCTTATCGACGAAACGATGATGGCACAATCAAATACGAGAACCAGGACTAGGAGTTACCGATTGTCAGCTTGGCAATATGCCACTGTAACTTCACGGCTATTAAAGTTCTTTACATTTATCATTTCGATTCGCGCGTTAAATAAGTACACGAATATTTAATACTTTCATTTTTTTTCTTATAATTAAACTGCGAATTTGATAAATTTTCTATTATGTTTCATTTTGTATAAAAATTCGCAGTATTAATAAATTAAAATTTGTTCCTAAATAAAATTTGACATTTCATGATCGAGACTCTGGATTGTCTCGTTAATTCGGTGTCGACGAATAGATCAATTCGAGGATAAAGGCATAGGCAATCAGAAAGGAAGAATGAATCGACCAAAAAAGAGTAGATAGAGAGTCACATATCTGAGAGAAGATATTTGGATATTTTATCGTTTACCTCGGTAAGGCGTGGCGGTGTTCTTCGCGGTGCGCTGTTGCAATACGCAAATCTGTTCTTCCAGATGATAATATTATATATACATATATTCTATATGTTATACGTACGATATATATACATATATTCTATATGTATACACACATTTGTGCAGTATGCATATACACGTATGCGTTGCATACAGGAGGAAGCATATTATACGTTGCAATCGGAGGTACGCACGTCGTTTTACGCTTATGTTCTCTATGGTCGTACCCGCGCCGCAAGAAGGAAACTTTTTACCTTTAGACATGGACGTACTACGCGGATTTATATATTGTACTGTATACTCATAACGACGTTTGAAACAACACGAAGAATGAGATTCGTTGCGTTTTGTCGCGGACACGTGCTGCTGAGTACAAAATATTCGAGCGGATTGAGCACGCGAAGCTAGAAATGCCGTTTAGCCCTTTTTCGTGCGCGGAACCAGTCTTAGCGCTCGTTCGAATCATTTTTAAGCTCTGGGACACAAAGAAAATTTATCGTATTCTTATAGAAGTATTTCAATTTCAATTTTTCATTTCCTTTGTCTTTTGCATTTTTTTTTGTAATGAAATGTGATACATTGTGTTTGTTGATTTACGAACGATAAAATTTCTATTTTTATAAAGATAGACGAGCTGGATTTAAATAGAAATTCGTTTTACTTGCACGTCAGTTTGCAAAAGTCCGCAGTCTACTGGAACTCGTAGGTAGTAACGTTCTGCTTGAAATAATTAAAGGACCAAGTTTATTGACAATGATGTAATGAAATAGCATAGTGATAGCTTTAAATTTATAAAACATCCCAACAAGAATCATATTGCTTTCAAATAGTATCATAAGATCCTTTAATTATTTTGAATAGTATATGTGTTCCCCGTACTTACCCCGATCTTGGAAGAATCTAAATATTGCTAAAACAGTTTTACCCGTCCCAGGGTGAAGATAGTCAAGGTGGATCGATTGTCGATAGCGAGAGAGGAGAAATTGTAGGAATTCTATTTTCAATCAGCTTCTCATGAAATCGGCCATACTACCTATACTTTTAGGGGAAGGGAATGTTCAACAACGACCAGTCTACGTGGCAAAATCCACTCAATTTTTTATACTGTCCGGGCTGTATTCAGAACGCTCTAATTAATCTCTAATAAACCCAAACTATAATTCTTCACTTCCTATAAAATACGAAACTATCTACTAATACGAAACGTGAAATACTTTTTAACTATTTCTGAAATCGATTTAATTATGTTGGGGAATCTTTAAATCTTAGAGGAGAATTATATGCTTCGAGTAATCGTCGGTACTTACAATTAGGAAAGTGAAGAGTGATGTAACTTTTTAAGACATAATTATCGGTCCTGAATTTTTAATCGGAATCAGAAAATGAACATCGAGAGATTGAAAAATAAAAGTTTATCATTTATTAGCGATGATACAGTGTTATGAATACAAGCCGTTAAGTTTATTCCGTCGCTCATAAGACTTCTCGACTACGGTAGCATATAGTAATTTATTTTCATGCGATTTTTTTAAAGATGAAAACATCATTTCTGAGAGACATAGCGATCGTCAGGAGAGCTAGGGAATGTCATATCAATCACATAATTAAACGTACACAAGAAGCGAGAAGAAAAGAAAAAAATCATTACGAAAGTTGGCTATCCATGATACGATTATTAAACGTTATTATTGTTATCTTCGTGGATTACTATTATTATTATTGCTATTAAGATGCGTACTTTTACTATGAAGAAATACTTGTCTATACGACTATTCTACTTAGCTTTTAGTACAATTGACAATTCTACTGTATTATTAAACAAAATAATTGACTATAAATTGGCAATATTCGAGCGTGGTCTACACGTATTTTCTCTTACTTGAGAAATCTAAGAGAGTGAACGCTTTTTTCTCATCACACGTTTTATAATCGATATAACGATGACGATAATAATAATAATAATAATAATAATAATAATAATAATAATAATAATAATAATAATAAATAATAATAAAAAACGTTTCGTCTCCGAAAGGAATGACCTGGTCAGAGGGCAGACGTGATGATAACGCTCCTGTCCAGGTATTCTTTTAGATTTATATCCTCTTCTCTAGACTTTTACGAAGTTGTGAATCATGCATTGTGATATTACTGTCTAGCCTACCTTACTATTGTATATTGTTATAAAACGTAACGAGGAAAACAAATAGTATGTAACGTCACGCAACTTTCCATTTTTACTTCGAACATTTCTATATTTATCTTCATCTCTTCATATGGAATTATTGTAATAAAATATTGAACGAAACCGACTGTCTGTTAATTGACTGATCCATCCATTCGACGAGAATAAATATGATTCCTTTGAAATAAACACAAGCATATCCTAAGTGAAAGTAATTTAAAAGAATGAAGTTATAACTTTAATTATAAATCAGTTTCCCGGTGAGAGAATTTCTACACGACATATCGAAGCATGGTCGAGGGTAATAAACACAAGCATATCCTAAGTGAAAGTAATTTAAAAGAATGAAGTTATAACTTTAATTATAAATCAGTTTCCCGGTGAGAGAATTTCTACACGACATATCGAAGCATGGTCGAGGGAACTGATCTCTTATTCTACCGTTCAATCCGGACACTCACTTGCGTAAATAGCGGCGAATTCAGACTTACAATCAAAATGATTCTCGTACAAATGATAGATTAGACTAACTGAACGAGATATGAACCACCACCTTTTATACTAAAAACTGGGACTTCCCTAAAAGAAGCGTTACCATTTTTATATACATCTGTATATCATATTATGTATATCCCGAGAGTTCGCGATCTCTGACTCAACCCCTTCCGTGGGGTGGAAACCTGACTAGCCGCGAACGTTCTACAAGCGTACGGAGACGAAAAAGTAATATTTTACTTTAGTAAAGCATTAAAAATATTTTATTTCCTTCTCTTATTTCTTTATTTCAAGGCAATTAAACATTGCCAGTTAACTCTGAATGAAATATATCGACTACGGAGAATCCGGGAGCAGATTCAGGCCGAACACGGAGGTCTCTCGGGCTCGGGACACGTCGAGTATGAGCGGTAAGCTCGAATATCTGGAAAAGTATTCGGTAGCACCTTCGCCCAGCAGAGATTACTACGGGCTGAGAGTGGACGACGATCAGGTGCTGATCGAATAGATCCCATCAGACAGAACGTACCCCACAGACAGATCGATATCCTGCCACGTAACTAGGCCACTTTTACAGGTGACGCTCTACCTCTGGCGAATCTCACACGGTCCACACAAGTCGCCCGTCGTGCGCACCTCCGGTTTCGCCGATTTCAACCAGGACCTGCGGTTACAAGACGAAATTCGACGTATATTCGGTAATCTGGTCCAACGAATGCATAACCTGTTGTGAGATAATTTGACATTTTCGATAATGATGTATTTAAGGTAGCTCGATAGTATTTGCAAAACATACGATTTTAATACAAGTTGAACTAAACAGTAGTTAAAGTTTCGAACTTTCATTTTCCGTAAAGAAAATATAGGATTTCCGTGAAAATTGTTTAAAAAAATGCATTAGAAAATTCTTATTTTTAACACGGGAGCTTATGGAAACTTTTGTATAAATGCCTCGTGCGATTTCATATCATATACGTTTTCAATAAAAAAAAAAATGGTTATAGATTTTTTTACGGGGAATGCGATGATGTAAAGAAAAATATAGGTTTCCGTGGAAAAGAACGAAATAATAATGATCAAAGCCAATGAATAATACTTTTATCACCCCATCATCGCCCCAGTCATAAATAAAAAGTTGTTTATTTTACTTTGTTTAATATATTTTTTTATAATATTACATTAAAATATATGAATGTGGAAATGATAATATACATTTAATAATGAAATTTTCACTTCATATTCTTATTTTAAAATAAGCCCATTGTAGGGCCCTCTCTTGATACATTACCCAAATAGCGAGCTACCTTAAACTATTATTAAATCGTAAGAGTATTTTTTACAATAATTGTTTAAAGAACGGTCGATATAGTGGTTTTTTAATTTACAATACTTTGATACTATGACCAGTAAGATCCTTGTTACGATTTGTTCGATACCATGATACAATTATGTCAGGTGAATATCTGCTGAAACACATAAACAATATTGCCTGTGGAAGATACACATTACTGACGTTGCCGAAGTGTCTGATTAAAAAGTTGATCAAATACCTGACGGTGCATGATATAATTAAATTGTCGTCCTTGTCGCACACTTCCAAAGAGGTAACGCGATTCAAACAAATAAGCGAATTATCCCGTATAGTTTTATATTATTCTCCTTACGTATTTCCACGAGCCGTTAGATCTTTGATAACAATTTCGTCTGGGAGGCATTGTACAAGAAATATAAACCATTCTCAACCAGGAACAAGTACGACAAGCTGCGCATTAGTAATTGGAAACAGTTATTTCAGTTCACGCAAATCGAGGGACTTACGAATGATAAAAAAGTAATCATACTTATTGTCAGTTAAAAATGTTCGCTTATTCATTGAAATGCACGAAAATCATATTTTTAGATGTTGCGTCCTCGTACGAATATAAGACAACAGAAACCGGCCACGAAAATTGAAAATCCAACAAGACTAAATGCCAGAATAGAGAATTTGTCAAAGTCGAATCCGAGAATCGAACAAGCGATTAAATATTCAAGTTCAAACTCGAGAATAACGTCGAAGACGGTCCAGTCCGAAAGCCAGATAGCGAAAAGATTTATAGAACCGTCTCACAGGAAAACTGCTCCAAGTTCTATAGCAAGGAAGTTGTCTGATAATCGTCTGAATCAAGTTAACACTGAAAAAGAGAAATCAAGTACAGAGAAGAAAGCACCAACTATTAAATCGCTTCAGATGGCTGGTCAAAAGAACATGAAATCTCTGAGGGAGCAATCGCTCGCGAAGACCGATTCGAAACGCGATTTGGATAATAAAGACTTACCTGGTAACAAGATTCCCGAATCCAAAGCGAACCGAGTACAAAACAAAGTTAGGAAAGTTGAGACGAAAGCCAGCAGTCAGAGTGTCAAAGCGACGGAGGACAAACTGAATTTGAAAAACAGAAGTACAACTGCACCGAGGATCAGCAGTAACAGGATTGAAAGAATTTCTCGACCGATTCAGGATCAAGGAAAATCTAAGCCTAAGAGTAAAACGAAGAAGATCGGGCAAAGCAAGTCGACGATTTTGAGCACGAGCACTGATCTCCTCAGCGAACATTGCGCAGTGAAGGACGACAGCTTCGATTTAGCCGATTTGATCGAGGCAAGCTTGAAGAACATACGTAGTCCGCGGAGTATATTCGATTACAGTTTCAGTTGCCTGGACAAACCGAAATCGTGCGCCGGTGACACGAAGGCTCAAGACATCGTAAGAAAAATGACGGATCATCCGCGATCTTTGAAGAGCAGTCGCATCCGAGCACCCCTCGACCGATTGTCAGAAAAATCTGAGCCTCTAACTGGAAAATCGATGGATTCTGCTAGAAGAAACGAAGATGGTACGTCGAACGTGGAACTGAAGAAATCGATGGAGACTAAACATACGAGCAAAGTGCCTGTGGTACCTGAAGAGAAGGCGGAACACTTTGAAAGATATGGAATTTATAACAAATTTGCGGCAATGCAGAATAACAGTGAACAGAAGAAACCAACACCGACGAAGGAGATCGATAAAATGAGCGTGTTGCGATCGATCGGAACGAGAACTTTGCCGGGGAAGCCAATGAATTCCGGTGCGGGAGAGATCAATCGAAATGAAGTGAGAAAAACTATCAACAATGTTTATAAGTATTTATAAACTTTACTCCAGGCCACTGCCTTTTAAATTGTTACTATCGTTTCAAAATACATTTGGTGAAATAAATATTAGCGATCGATTAAAATACGAGCGTACACGTTTTCATAAAATACACAAAATATATTTTTATAGTATTTATTCTTCAAGAAAAACAAATGGTACGAATTACATAAAAGGATTTAAGGAATAATGTGTATTAACTTGTAAGATGTTAAATAAAAGAATGCAACGTGAAGAATTATTGTTCCGGTGAAGGAATTTATTAAATGTTCTTTCTTAACAATGGTCACTGGAAATGTGGGCAGGTATACAAAATAATCGTCGAGCGGTGCTTGTATTTAATGATGTCTTTTAAATACAAACATTTACACGAGATGTAAAACAAAATGAAAACTCATCCTACTTGTAAAGATCTACAAAAAGAAACGTAGCTTGACAATATCTGCGGAACACCTTATTAATTTAAATAGAGAATCTGCTTCGTAATCAGATATAATTATAATTAGTCCAATAATGAATGATTTTTAATTTGAAAATCTGCTATTATCTTTTTATCGAAACGTATTAAATTTTTGAACAGTGTCTATATCAATACACACGTTGCGTGAATTATAATTCCTGTATTTTGTAACTCATCAATGTCTAATTGAATTTAGAAAACAGGGTAGATATTTGGCGGAAGGTTCGCGAATTTTTTTAAATAGTGAAAGAGACAATTGCAGAAATTCAAAGCAACGCTATTCGTACAGAAACGTATTATTAATTGTTAGCATAAACCGATTCTTCGCGCAATTTATTGTCTGTTCATCATTCAAGTTAGACACTAATAAGCAAAGTTGACGAGAAGTGGCACTTATCGTCCCTTAAATTGAAAACTAAGTCTGTAAGACACACGTTTGTTTATTCACTTTCATCGAACAGAATGAAAATCAACAAGGGAATTTGTAATTTAATAGTTTTCATCCTAACTAAGTCACAAACACGATTCCACCAGTCACGTATATACTGTACTTATGGAATCGTTTTCCTTATTCCATGATTGATTAGGAACAATCTGCATTTCAGATTTATAGCTCTTGATTGTATAATTCAGTTTAATTCGTCTGATGGCATCACAACCATGTTCAGCTGGAGCATGGTTTCTTTATAAAATTGACTTATTTTCCTCTCGCTCTCTTCATTGCACTTCTTATAGTTTAATTGACAATCCCACAACGATTTTTTTTACAAGTTCGCAATTCGTTAGATTGATACCTTTCGAGATACGACATTATTTTTGTTAAAAGGTACTGCCACTCAAATGTCCAGAACACTGGTTCATACTCGATAATTTTTTATGGGAGTGTACTGAATATAATAGAATTTCCGGACACTAAAGTGGCATTACGTTTAAATAATATAGCCAGAACACAACTACCGCCAAGGTTCGGTCTCGTCGAACATTCTCTCTATGTTGTCGCGTAACATTTTTTCCTGTTCTGTGAAATTAATAATTTCCATGAAGTAAAAATACTGATTTTAAAACTTTACTTGTTGATTGTTAAAATTACCTTTTGTTAAGTTCGCGATTACACATTGTTTCCTAAGAAATTCTAGGCACAGAGTACGGGAGAGGCCAAAGGCGTGCATGTTGCATGTGAACGTTCTAAAACATAACAGAACACATTGAAGAATGCAAATAAAAGATCCAACGCAAAACGCAACTACAAATTTTAACACAAATAAATTATATTAAAAAAAAGGCAAGTATTAATAAGTATTGAGCAATATTATTAGCAGACTGCAGGTTTTATACATTTATTTTAACCGAAATTGTAAATGCAGCGTATAAAATATTAAAAGCCGATTGTATATTTCAATATTTAAATGATAAAAGGAATGTTTATCTAAAACATATTTTTCAGCTGATATTATAAATGTTTTATTTTGTATAAAAATCCTCAATTTATTCATTATCTTTACCCTAATTGTCCAAAAACGATGTTAGCCTGAAATTTTCTATCTTCCATGGCGATGGCTTCTTGATCCAATGATTTAGGCCTCGGAGGTACCGGCCTGGAAGCTCTCTCGCACTGCACCGCGTCGAAAAAGGCTGCTGTCCAAAATCTCATAGACGTCCAAATTGGTTGCACTCTTAAATGCGTGTACAAGTATTCCCTGTACGGTTCCAATCCCGGTACTTCAACTATTTGAATCCGAAAAATGTATTGAGTATTCACAACACAGTTAATTAAATGCATAAATTGTATTGAACTCGAGTAATAAGAACAGAAAAATTTATTCGTATTTAAGTGAATTTTGAGGTACCTTCGTGATAAAAAGTGAAACACATGTTCATGAGACTCTTCGCGGGGGCGAAGTCATCGGCCTCGTGACATTCGAAAAGCGCTACAGCAAAATGTTGCGCCAAAGAGTAAAAAGAAGCTTCCGTTACACATGGTCGCGCCCTCCTGGCATTCACAACCCGCGAGAACCATATTCTACCCGATTCCGTCTGCAAAGTATTAAATGGACACATACAAACAGAAATTTTATACAAATACAAATACGTAGATTAGATTCATTGTAAAATCTTTTATGTTTATTGAAAAAGTTTTATTTCAATATACATTCTCCTCTTACGAAATTAGCAGTTAAGGTTTAGATAAAATAAATACGTACAAGGACCATTTCACCAAATTTAGCTTTCTGCTCTTGGTCGATGCTGTTGGGAGCGTCGAACAAGAGAGGCACGAAGGCTTTCATAAAATCCGCCGCGGCTTCCTCAGATTGGCTATCCGCCGACAAACTGGAAGCCCACGACTGTACAGAACCAGACGAACCTAAATTAGAAATACCAAGAACGATTATGCTTGAACAGTAGTTTAAGTAATTAAGTATCGTAATGCTTGTATTAAATATATTCTAATTAATTGTACCTGATCTCTGCCATAATCGACGGCCATCCGCATTAGAGTCCAAACTGGTACTAGGCCCATAACCGTCCTGATCGCTCATAGAGTCACTGCTACAAGGCACATCTGAAATAATGATCTATAGGAAACACTTTATCAATTTGAAAGAAGCGTCTACAGCTCCTCTAATTAATACGAGGCACTGACATCAGTGTGCCACAGTTGTTGCTTCAATGTCTTCGGACACATGTCTAAATCTAATGTTCGGAACACATAAATGTACGCAAAGTACAGTGAAACTATCTATTCACGATTAAATGTGCGGAGGATGTGTAATTCACGATTAACTCTCATAGTTAATCATCGGTTAAAATAATTAAATTAATTATTCGTTCCATAATAAAAACAGGGATTTCTAACATCAGCTAATCACTGTTGATTTATCAACAGGATTCAAATGTTATACGTAACTGATTCTCAACTTTTGATTCTCAATTTTTAATCTACGGATTTAATCAAACAATTAAACGATTAATCTTGATTAATCAATGCTTAACATTACAATTAACTGACATTGAACATTGCAATTAAATTTCAGGGATTGTGCCTGATATAATAAACTCGATTCTTGTTGAAGCATATGAACTTGTACGAGTGCAATCTATTATACTTTTAATTTTCTTAATTAGGATACGTGATTAATCATCAGAACGTCGTTGTTGAACGATACATCGATCATCGTGTACATCCGCTTCCCACGTCTTTACACTTATGTGGGTATCTACTACAAAGCGTTTACACATATGTAAATTCAAAGGCTTGTTACTATAGCTATTCACGACACCAAATATTTATGCACAGGCGAATCGATGTGAAAGCGTACAAAGGGACGGTTTCGCCACCACCAGGGAACATGATTCAGCTGCAACCAAAGGGATCTACTTTTGCTTGCATCGTTGCGTTCAACGGACAGTTCAATGCAACGCTATCAAATTTTTATAGTGCGACTCACGGACTTGTTGATAAAATTGTGTAGAGTAAAAGAAACAGCAAATTCTACTGTTTATTCCATGTATGGAGAAGTATTAATACACAGAAGTTATACAGTTCATCACATAATATATTTCACTTCATAATAAAAAAATAATATGATAAATATCTATTAAAACAACAATAATTGTATGAACAAATCTGTGAGTCAATATTTCCACAGTACTAAATCAAACTAAAACAAATTCAATATATTAATTGAAGAAACCAATGTCTAAAAGTTATGTAAACAAATTAAAATGCATTGTGCATATAATTCTGACAAGTTGTCGTCAATACGAAGAGAGGAGATTTGTTAGCGCACACTCGTTTCTTCAATTCGCTTTACTGGTCACTTAAGAAGTACATTATTAAACAGTGACAAGAACTGTTGCTGTAAAATACAAAAGGAAATGATCGTGAGGCAAACCTGTGGCCGAGGGTGGTTCACAAACATTCACATAAAAATCATTTACCTAAACGAAAAACGAGCGTCTGATATCGGGTCGGGGCCCTCGCTTCATCGCAAACAAAAACAAAACAGAGTACATTATAGAAAATATCTTCCAGAAAACGAAGATTATCATCATGCCGCGATAAATACTGTACAGTAAATAATATCAAACTCGAGAAGATTGATACGACTCGAAGATCAAAAGAAGTGCCAGAAATGTTAAACTCACGAGAAGATAAATATTCAAAAATATGATACATTGGTATAATACACTGACTTACGGAAGTATTTGAACAATTATTATTTAAATAATTTTTGTCTATATACTGACAAAAATTCTTATGATAATACTTGAACAATTTCACGAGTTATTGTGCTGTACATTAATAAATAAATAAATAAATAGAATATTATTTTTTATCATAACACGATTCATCATAACATCATTGCTCACCTCCTTTGTAGTTCAATTTTTCAAAGGGATCCGGCCCGGTGGCTTTGATATCTCTCTCCTGAAGCGGTTCTATGCTCTCTTGGCTGTCCCTGTCGGGGCTGTTGTCCTCTTCCACTTTCTGTTCCTGCTTCCTGATCCCGGCCGACCTCGACGAAGCTATTTCCTCATAGGTCATGCCCGGAGGATACTTCCTGGTGCATCTTGACATATTTGCGCTTCCTTGCCGTTCCAATTTGTGCCTAGCCATGGCCTCATAATCTTCATACGACAATCCCGCACCGAACCTTCGTCAAAATTATATTTCAATATGAACAGCCGAATGTAACATTGGTTAAAAAATAATTCGAATTATAACAATGCTTTGATTTCAAGCAAATTGCTTGTCAATCATTACAGAGATAAGTAGAAACATAGAAAAACTCACTGACCCCATATTAGAGGCTTGAGTAAGGATTACTTTACACTTAATTATCAAAATTGTAGTTTAATCTCTAAAATTATTAGACTAAGTGTTCATAGCAAATCTAATCTCCGAATGCCCTGTAAATAAAAAAGCCGATCGCCTTGAGTATTTAACAGGTTTTACCTCATTCTTATCCATTCTTGGTTGAAATAGGTACAACTCATTACGAGAAAGTAGCACGTTTGAATGTATTATTTCCAGGTTTATCAAATTAGTGACAGCACGTACGTTTTAAAATATTTGTAATATTTTAATATAATTTCTTGAGTCTATTGTGATAATCTAAACTACATAATACAAAATCATGACATTTTTCCAATTCCTAAATTTCATCCCAACAACTCTCAATAAAAATGGAACATAAACGTAATCGCATAAAAAAAGTATTAATCAAATGTTTGTACTTAAAAAGCATTTTTAAAGTTTGTACAAGACATCGTGTCATTTTTTTTCGTCTGAGATCTCTTATAATTAGAAGTTGACGAGACAGGGTCTTAGACGCGTACCTTGGAAGTCTTAATTTCCTCCTAGCCAGCTGCTCCTCTTCCGGCTTGGCAGTCTGAGGTGGTGCTTGTGGCGAGGAGGACGGCGTCGAGGAGGTCGTGGTCAATTCGCTTTCTTCCAAACTGCTGCTCAGTACCGAGCCTATCCTGCTACCTAGACCCTGGAGGTACTCTCCACTTCCTCCCAGCGCCGATCTCACAGACCTGAGTGCACCTCTGGTGCGTCCAATTAACGACGCTCCGCCGGTGGATGGCGGAGCCGTTGTTACATCCACCATTTCCTATAGACATGAGTAATAAGATCAGTATTTTATGTCGAACCCTCTATCTTCGCCATAACAGGAATATCACATTAAGTTTGATAATATAAGGAAACGTAATTTAAGGACGTTCGCGAGTAGTCGGGCTCAACTTAAAATTAACTCACGTCGACATAATTATTAATGCCCCATTTCTCATTATTTCAGTTTCCTGTGTGCTATGATTATCGTAGAATCGATGCAACGTTATCAAGTTATTAATGTCTTTTTCGTTCGTTAATCGCGACTGACTGAAAACTTATTGAATTTACTTACGACTAACGATTATAACGACTATTTGTCAAAAACGAAGATTACAAGCCACCTCCAGATTAATTGCATATTATTTCTTATGTTATAATAGTATAGTTCCAAGTGCTTTGGAATATCGCATAATATCTGAACTGTACTTGCTACGCTTTTCTACCCATCACTCATTTCCTTTAACATCGCTGCTTATTTTATATCAAATATCCAATATCCTTGCAAATCTATGAAACTTCACATTCAGCTTTAGATAATAAAACATTAAGCAATGAGTATACTGACCTGATAATTAAGAAATGAACACACACTTTGCTATTCGACGAACGTTATTGATTTCGTGACACGCGAACAGAAAATTATTTTGGACAAGTAATTAAGTATTGAGGTCAACGAGAATATCCACTTCGCACGGTTTCAAATCCTGCAGTAGTTTAATATCAGAGCGATGTGCAGAAAGCAATAAATGTCAACGCGACGAATAGAAAAGCCTTTAGAACGAGAGAATGAAAAAGAAAGAACGCGGTACGAAACTGGAATTGTGTAAGTCGGGTAAAGAATGAGGATCGTTTTTACAATTGTGCTATGTCGTCGATAACGATTATGCAATCGACGATACGAGGAAGCGTGTGGGCGATGACATGCACACAGCTTGTGTAAATAACAGTTGGCTCTGAACGTGTTTGTCTGATTTCTATTACATTTTTATATAATTCAGGATTTTCTGAATAATAATTATCCGTGAATTTATGTAGGAGATAAATTTATGGCATAAAATGCTAAGATTTTGATTTTTCAAGTATAAAACCGTCTGTATAACACTGAATAAGGATAATTATTGTAACACAAATTAATGGTACTAATATTATAATAATTGCTGAACTATTTAAGAAATGGTATTACTGTCATGATTTGACAGTCTAAAGAAAGCGACAGTGAAGAATAGTAATAATCGTTACTGATACTATTCCAAGTATAAGCAAAGTGTTCTTTCAAATTTCCACATCATTCATCACTGCTGTTTTTCCAAAGAGAATACATTTTTCTTCATAGAGTTTCATATCATGTTTTTCTTCGCGACTGACTTATTACCTGACGTCAACTAGTCGATCACCAACTCAAAGAGTTTGTAATTTGATTAAATAATATGACTCATTATCCTCCTGATCGTCATGATCCATCCAATGTACTTTAAATAACGTTCCAACAGTATTTTTATTTAAATTTCATTGTTATAAAAATTATATCAAGTCTTCGCCCCTTGCTACCCATACAGACATAATTAAAATTATAGTAGAAACTTGTCTTTTATTATAAGTGTCTTTCATTAAACACATGGAACGTACGATTAGTAATTAATATAATTAACCAAATCAATTTCTTTTCAGTATTTTCTTTGAAAATTAATATTTCTGTTTACTCAAAACAACAGGTTACATTTGTTGCATCAGGGCATCATTATGCAAACATTTGCAACCTTGCATAACGAGCGTAATCTTATCAGTGTATAATATATTCAACGTACTTTACATTTTTTTGAAGGCAAGAATTCGATTCGTGGAACGGCAGCTTTCATATTAACTATGCGTGACATTTTTGTTAATTATTTACGCGTAACGCGAATAATAAATGAATCGATGAATGATAAAAGGTAGAGGCTAATGATCCAGCTTGTGAGGCGGAGGATACAGATAAGACAGGGACAATTGACTAACCGACATATTATGATGAATTATGTGAATTAGTTGAGAAAACAGTGGGAAATGTATATAAAACGGGCAGTGAAGAATTTCACTGCCCAGTGGAAAGTGGATATTTTTTTGTTGAGTGTCATTCGCGTACTACGTGCAAGCCAATCATCAGTTTGGTGAACATATCCGTGAGTACCTTCCATAATAGCAAATGTTTTAGGGGTTATAATAAATAAATTAATACAATAAGGTAAATTTCACAATTTCTATTCACTGAAGTAAATTTACAATAAAATAATATAAAAAGTACGTCAGTAAGTGGAATTTGGGACATGCACAAGGACAAGGGAGTTTCGATAGGGTAAAGGAAATTGATTTGCTAGTTTTAGCAATAGGATTTTGAAGTGGAAAAAATTCGCAAGGGGGAACCAAAGGCGATCGAGAGCCTATGAATAACGATTTTTCGTGGGTTTTTCCATCTTTATCGTAATTTAGCGTATCGGGCTTTGATCATAATAAGCAATAAACTTAGGAAGCATCCTGGCACTAACAAACATGCTGAAAATAGAAACCTAATGCTAAGGGTCTTGATCGTCAGATATAAACGATGGTTAGGATTTTATGGTGAAAATTGCAGAGCTTTTTATGGTTTCATGAGCTAATGATTGCTACGTTACGGTTTAGGGCTTAGGGTCTCGAAGTGGATATTGTAAAGTTATGAGGCAAAGTTCTTATTACCATCTATTAAAGGCTATTAAAGGATTGACTTCATGGGAGACTTAAGTATTAAAATAATAGTACATTTCCTTCATATAAAGTAACTCTGTTTCAAAGGGTTCATCTCTCCTCTTTAATATAATAGTCGTGATGTAGTATGTAACCTTTAATATTTGTATCTAATAATGACGCCCGTAATAAATCCATCCTCTCATTTTTTCTCTCACAGAATAAACGAGACTCTCACTGGTCGACATATATACATAGGCATGTGGATGCGGGGGTTGAAAGCGAAGGCTCATATTGCGATACCGAGCAACAAAACGTGCCAAGGCTACTGGAATGTGTGCTTTGCGATTTGACAAATGCTCTGATCGATTTTCTTCCTCGAAAAGATCTCAAAGGAAAGTAATTAAAGTCTGATAAAACAATATATTGGATAAAAGTATAACATACCAAAATAATTGAAGGATGATGAAATACTTTATTGAATAAAACTAGATCATATTAAAATTGTATACTAAATGAAATTAGAAATTCAAGATGACTGAAATTCCAGGAATATTCAGTTCAGTAATTCTCTTCCTTGAATATCTCCCGTGTGAAAATAGTAAAAGGATAATAAGGATTGAAAATAGATCATATTGAAATTGGGTAGACTATAAATTCAAGGTAATTGGAATTCCAGGAATATTCTGTTCGGTACTTCTCTTCTTTGAATTTTTTGCAAATAACAGTAGTAAAAACTGAATAGAACATTATTATTGAATCAGAATGAAACACAAAAACTGCATTTATGATAAAGTATGGGAAATCGAGATAATATAGCAGGCGTCAGGTAATAAAATACTGCATTCATTACGTAGTGAAATAAAAGTTGAAATATGGACTCTAATAATATGAAATATAGGATGTAAAATTTAAAATAAATTATTCCGACGCTTGTAAAAATTATATGGTGATCTTGTTTACAATTATGTAAATAATTACAGTTGCTCACTGATACAATAATTATAGTTAATCACCAAAGCAAAATGTAACAATATAAAACATAAATGTTGGTTTTGGAATACGATTTTATGAATCGCGTATCGATTTCGATTGAGTGACACGGCGGGCGCAATAGGCGCAATGGTGCGATGATACGACTTTATGGATGCGTGAAAACGCATTGAGAAACGTACATCGCATCACCGCAATGCAGTTTTATCTATACCGCGTTGTACCGCACCGTGCGGGCCGTTGTTCAATTTATTCTTTTGCAAGACACGCATTCATCAACCATACTGTATCAATTATAGATCTACGTTTTTACAAAATCGAAACACACGTCATTATATTGTTGTCTTTCCAATTTATTTAAGCGAAGACTTCAGAGGACACCTCTCTCGAAATTCCGATTTTAATATCAGGCATATATATACATACAAGGTCAACAATCAGAACAAGAAAGCTCAGTGTATACAGATGAACAAAATTTCCATAAAAGGTTTTCATTATTCATAAAATTGTACTTACCGTTCTCTCAATTCCTCGGAATTATTCAAGGCATAAACCAGATGCAAAAGGAATATAAACGAAGAAATGTCCGATGCACCGAAATCAAGGACTTAAACAAAAACTCGAGAAGAGATAAAAATAGATTAGACAGAAAGATTTTCACAATCAATCGAGATAGTTTGTTAGTCTAATCACACCGAGGATACGTTCATCGTATTGATAGCGCGTCCGTGGAACGATCGGCCGATTGAATCGTAAATCGAAAGTTGTACGGTTCGGTGAAGCGTGGGTTCACACCAGCTGTTTCGGTGCCTTCGACGATTGCATCGGGGTTCGAGACACGTGTCCGACAGGCCGCCAATGCTTCCCTGGGCCCGCGGCTGTTTGAGACCACGGGAATCGGACACACCGAACGTGCAGCGCAAATCCTTGCACTGCTCCGCTGTCACGAGCGTGCAGTGTATCGTGCCGTGTGTCGCGTTTCCCTTCCAGTCATATGATCCAATTAGCGCGTACGCATGCGCTAAATATAATCAATACTTTACTTGCTTTACCTTTAACGGGGGTGGTCGGTATGACAGACAAATGTTAGTTAGTCTTGTTAGTTACTGACAGTAACGCACCGACTAATGGTAGTAACATTCCTGACAAAAGTCTATTTCATTAAATACTATAATATAAAGTTAAAAAAACACAATATTGGAGAATACAGTGATTAAAAATGAACAATTATTTAATGTATTTTATGTGGAGGTTGAAAACTTTTATGTTATTTGGTTCCGGTTATTGAAACAGTTACCGGAAAACGAAAAATGCCATATCTGCTTTTATCGGTTCTGGTGTTCGGCTACTGGTGGGAAAAATAATAACATAACTAAAGACTTCAGCCCCGAATGCAATTTTTTATTCTCGACTTTTGCCTTATTCTAACACCATGCCTCACTTTGCATTCTGGCAAAGGGAATTGTTGTTCAGAAACACTTACGGAATCACTTCTCTTCAGCTATAACACTTTTTCTGGGACACCCTACATAACAGTTTTAAATATTTTCGAAACTTCTTCAGTCCCTCATTTTATGTATCTCATTTTGTAACTATAATACTAATTAGTAATTATATGCAGTCTTAAAATAATTAATAAATTCACTATAGAGTCTGTAATTTGTGATGATCAATATTTCAGTCATATTTCATACTGCCACACCACCCAGTAAAGTTAATATACATAGGTTACCGGATTTCTTCTCGTTATCAGTTTGTAAATACACTTGTGTCGTACGTCTGCTAGCAAGTTGGTCAATACAGCATTATCTAATATTTAAATTGAACAAACGTAACTCATCCTCTTCCGTGTGAAAACTTACTTTTCCCTGACCCAACTTCTTTACATAAAAGGATGTAACGGGTGAATAAGAAACAACAATAACTAACCGAGTATTTTTTATTCCCTCGGCGAATTTATGCAGAATACATACTAATCATACACGAGGTGTATTTATACGNTATACTTGATCTCTTTCCTCTCTTCTTTGTATGTACCTCTTATATACGTCGTTACTTAATTACATCACATCAAACGGACACGGGTGCTGAATGCTGTGTAATCTTGTTCTCCTTATCGATTATGTACACATCTGTTGCGGTTTAATTGTGCCGATAAAACACCGAACGCTGCTCTCGGAGAAACGAGATAACCGAACGGCAGAACGAAAAAGCGTGTACCCGTTCGATTTCCATCGTTTCCTCATGGGAACGCGACGTGTTCAGTCGATTGATTATTATAATTATTATCATTATCGCATTACAATCGGCGAGCGTGCTACGCGACGTTCCATGCAAAATCCCATTAAAAATCGAACCATCGCATCGTACAAACGAATAAGCGTACTCGTTCAGTTTTCCTAGAATTTTTCTTGCCGTTTACGACGACCGATCGATTAAATCCTATCGTAAAATCTGTGAGTCCATCATATGTAATAGTAGATCCGTTTGAAAACTATAAAAATCGAACACTGTCGTGTCTACCGACAGAGAAGCGTAGTTCGATTTCCATGGTTTTTTGAGTCGACAGTTAATAAATAGTTATCGTTACCACATCTACGGTGTTATCATTATAAGACCACGTAAAAACTGACAAAAATCGAAATCTGGTACACTTGAGGATTCGAAAGGGTGCTCTTTAGGTATAAGTGTATGTCTGTTCGTGAATGTATGTGAAGAGTACAAGTTGCAGTACGAATGTCTTTTTAACTTATCTTAGGAATTATGATTATTGGTCGAATATTGATGTCTCCATCTCCGATTTCTCTTTCTTCTAATATCGGTTCCCGTCTCGCGACCTTCTGTACACGAGCAATAGTACAGTAATATAATGTATAATATACTTATATAATCTTTTTTCTTTATTATCTATACTTTTCTTTCTTACTAGGTACACCTAGAGCGAAGCGTTACGGTGTTATCCTTCTTAGCTAAACCATCCTATCCATCAGTTTCTCAATATCCCACGATTAACTCTCCGTCTACTATAGCGGAATCACGAGTTTCGTTGCCGAACTCCTCGTTTCGAGAGCGATAACGTACTAAGCGGCGGAGTGGTATGCATGTGAAATGCATCCTCGCCTCGTCTCTCACAAGCTAGAAGCGATTAGCGAGCAAGCTTGAGGAAAATTGCAAACATTTTGAAATACACGGTTCTTTAACAAAACTTCATTTCGAACTTGAGAGTTTCATTTATTTGTCCAAATCGTTCAAATAATTTTGCTAGGTAATAACGTGCCACATCTGGGAAACTGTTGATTAGAATAGTTAAAGCCAAGGAGCTTGAAACGGGTTAACACGGATCCAGAATGTATTACTTTAGGTTTCATTCTTAACTTGTGACACATTCTTGACACGCATCATTTTTTTGTTTCGTTCTATAAGGAAAGGCCAGTTGCTCATAAAAAGTTCTAAACGATTAAGGTGAGAATGACGCGAGCGAAGACACGCAGAGTAATTTAATTTCAGTGATAAAAATATTTTTTTACGTAGGAAGTTGGATGTAGAAACATGAATTGCAGTTTATAATATTTTAATAGTTACAGTACTTATACAACTACAAGCTTTTTGCTTTTGATTTCTTTTCAGTCAAAATTGTTTTATCATATTCATGAGATTCTTTTATGATTAAAGTTACACCAAACATGATATAATTTCGATTATGTTTATTCATACATGAAAAATGCTAGTGATTCAGTTTTTACTTAAGAAGTTACATCGTGTTTGATGTCATTTTAATCGGAATAATTTGTGGAAAGAGACATTCAAAATTAAAAATTTGTTGTTTTTAGTATTGTTTAGTAGATTAGTATTGTTTCACACAGATATTCGATTCCAGATTACATTAATCGAGACCGAACATCACGATGTCATATTATTCATATATTATTATATTCGTTTCTTTGTTTCTAAACGAGATAACTCTTAGCAGTGTAGATGAAAAACGACATGTTCATATTTATTGACAGAATATTGCAAATTGTGCAATTACTCCCATCAAGAATTGGAAGTAGTATCAATGAGAAGAATTAAACTACACGCGTTTTTATATGGACACGTTCTTTCACTTATATTTGCATGAATCTACTCACGAAACAATTCTCACGTACTACAGAATATCAGTTTGCGATACGTCTATTCTGATAAAATACTGGCATAAAATACAATGATTAAATTTGGCTACTTCTACATCCAACATTCTTTGCAAATTCATTTACATATTTAGTTTCGAGATTACATTTACTGAGATAATTATACATAACTGAAACGTCAGCTTCGCTTGCGTATATTCCTATCGAGGTATTCTCTTATTGGTACGAACATGGTTCCTGTATGAGTGCATGCGTGTGTATATAGTTTTTTCATTAAAATTCTATCACGCGTTTTGGCCCCTCGTCCGCTGCAGGGAAGGAAAACGAAATCGTGCCGAGCACGTAACGCAGAAATTGGCAAGTGCGTGGATGTCGCGTTCGCCAGTCGCGACAGAAATACAATGAATTAAGAATCACGCGAGCGTGCCTGGTCATCAAGATTAGGACCACCGATTTAACAGCGTCGCTACCCAAGTATTTAAATAAATTACTAATTAACGAAGAAATTGCTGATCAATTTGCCAATTTTCCATTATTTTATACTCATATATCAATCAATTGTTTTCTATCATATAGATAATTTTGCTTGAGTGTCTTAATTAATCGGCGGTCCTAACTCGAACGATCCACTGCAACGAATCCGAACTCACGGTGCACAGTCTTGCTTCGGAAATCGGCCTAACGAAAACAGGCAAACGTTCCCATTGTTGCGTTGCGAACAGGCAACTGATCCCGCCTACAATTCGCTTATGTACAATTACAATTTACTCGCACTTAAATGAGGGTACGGGTCGTGTTTTTAAGCGCCGAATTGGTGTTTACCGAATATCATACTTAATACAATTAAACTATTATAAATCTTATTATCCTGGAATAGAATTTGAAATTGCGAATTCTTATAGCTCAACATCAGCAATTCCATTCAAACAGGACATATTCGTTTGATTAATTACATTTACATTCTAAAAATTTACAAAAAAAATCTTTTAATAAAATCGATAAGTAATTCTAAATGATTTTTATTAATTCATTCTAATCTAATCGACAAATAGAGGTAGCGAGGCTGAAAAATTCTGTTTTCAATACAGTTATTGTTATTTAAATAAACTGCGAATAAAAACACGGCGCGTACGCGAAGGAGAGGAATAAAGTAAATATAGGACGGATATGTTTAACCTTCGAGCTAGAAATTCACCCTATACAATTTCTACGTTGCTTATGAATATTACTCGCATCAGAGATTTCACATTTAAGGTTGTTAATACATTTTACAACGCGTCGTTCTCGCGATAACTACGAGCCTCTCGATTCTATGAAGGACTTACACGAGGAGATGTCGTCAGATTTATTTAGCAAAAGTCAATGAAAAAATCGAATTTTATTCAATACAATGTTCCATAAAATGGTCACTCGTTGAAATAACTGAACATATAATAAATAATTATTTATATTTCATGGAAAAGCAATATTTGATTAAGATCAGTAAATAATTTCATCTTGTCCAAAGCCGTGCTGAATATTAAACTTTGATCGAAATAAAAGAAAACTGATACTATAATTTTTACCTGAATTTCCGACGACGTTCCTCGTTGGGACACGAATACAGACAGCTGTTTTCATTCTTTTCCAGAGGTATTCATGTATGTACATGTGCAGAAAACGTAGGTAGTAGCACACGTCGAGTAAACGCTAGTGATTTCCCTTTTACATTTACATACATTAAAGCTGCACCTTTACGTGTATATACGAATACACATCTAATGTAAGTGTTTATATACAACGATGTTGCTACCCCAGCTGAATTTCATCCACACGTTAATGATCCGATTTCTCCTGTTAACAAGCTTCCTTTTTACTTGTTTCGGTTTTCGTTCAATTCTGTTTAAATAATGAGTATCAGATTTCCTCTTCATTAGATATCATCTGATGCATATTACAGCGTTTTTATTTTACAGCGACTTTCATTGAAGCATGATTTGTTTAATAAATTTAAGTCTGCTGCAAATGTCCTGGAGATCATGATTAATGATTATAAAGAAGAAAAGAATTACAAATTATATCCTGGACACATAATTTACGATTATTGCTTTCAATAATACATAATAGATTCATAATTTACTTTATTAATCCATCATGACATAATGGATTCATTTCAATTAATTAAACTTTAATATATCATCTCGTACCTTGAAGTGTTTCATTTTCTTGGCATAGGAAAAATATTATAATAAAAATTTCGTGCTCTTTCACAATTTACAAATTAAATCGGAGAAATTGGATCGTCTTAGAGGGTTTTGATGAAAATCTAGATTTTGGAAAGCAGGCGAAATTTCCTCTTGTCGCGGAGAAATTCACACCCGTATCGAGAAAAACCGGCATGGGGCTCGGCGTTCTTAGCCCGAAGACTTTCAACTTGATGCGACATCGTGTTTAATTTCGACGCTTGTGCGACGGATCGATTGATGAACCGATCGACTTTTTATTTTATGTAAAAACAAACACAAGTGATTCAGAGAATTCGTTCTAAAATTCGTAAGAGTTTGATGAAGAATTTTAAGTCTCTTGATCTTTGCAAAAAAAAAATCAAAGGACAGGTTCTAATTTATGTACCTTAAAAGTAGGCAGCCGAAAAATAATGTTTGGAATAAATAATCAAAAAATGGGATTGATATATATATTGTTTTCACTCAAATATAGTATCATGGACTTTGCTTCTAATATTTTCTATATTTTTGAATACTGTGTTGTTTAGAATTTAGTATGTTCATGCTAAATGCATTAAAATACGCAGTCTATTTGTAAGTGTATAGTTACTCCGTTACTAACTGAATAAAAATGTAAATATGGAATATTTGGGGTGAAGACAAATGTAGACATTGTGAAGAAAGACATGAGAAATTGTTATAACTAACGAGTGGATTTGTTATCATGTTGCTCGTTTCTTCAAAGATGAAAGTCTTCGTTCCTATGAAGAGACGTACGCTGATAGTTACACACTAATTGTAAGAAAAAACAGGTACGGACAAAGACAGCGTTCCCATTGAGCGGTACGCTACGGAAAACCCGTCGACGACATTATCATTACCATTATTAATATTATTACTATTATAATTAGCGTCCCTTCAACACTCGTTAGCACTTAATCGAGAACGGGCGATTGTGCTCTAAGTACGTACGGTTTTCTCGTTTCCTTTACTTCCTTTCTTGTGTGTATTAATGTGTGCTCGATTTTCGCCGCCTACTGCAGCATTTCAGTAATTTTAGGCTACCCTTACGATGAAAACTCAACGATCTATAATTTCTATTATATGTTTCGAATAGTAATATATGCGCGAGATAAGCTCGGAAAGTGACGACTGACTCTTTTATAATCTACTTTCTTCGATTACATTAAATTGGTTCAAAGTACTATTTTATAATTTGACATTGAATGAATTAATGCGCTTTATGGAAATAGACAAGAGACGTAAGAACTTATTTCATTCGTTACGTACATATAATTAAATAAACTTAATTCGTTTGACATTGTTAATTGTTTGATGACTGATCAAAGCGTTCATCTCAAAGTTAAATTACTGTGGAGGTACGAATCTGGACCTGCTTGACGGCAACGTAGCGTCTCGTGAACTTTGACAAGCATAGTGAACAATGCGACGTGCTTTGTGTCGATCGCGAGGAAAACCGAGACGAGAAATACAAGACATAGATCTGCGAAAGGGATGGTTCGGTCGAGTGATAAAAAGGGTAACGACGAGAATCGATGACGTGTATAAACGCGATAAATAAATGGTATAAATAGTCACAGGAGTATTCTTTTTACATTCGAATCGTATTAGCCATAAGGACTTCGTCTTCTGTATATTCCTCGCAAGCAGCTTTCGATCAATCATTAACTTCAACCTAATAATAAAATCCACGTAGAAAATGAGTAAATTCAAAAATATTTATATTATTTGTATTCAGTATCATTCTATGTTTGAAATGGATTAGATTTTGATTAAATTATAAATTGTTTGAGATGCAAAATGCAATGGCAAATATATTTACTTAAATGATATATTGCTCACTGTTGACGTCAAATACTCGAAATCAAATGTAAAACACACGTATAAAATGTAGGAGGAACTGAAACGTTTTTCTCATTTCTGATCAATTGTAAAATTGGATTCACATTACGTGCCGCTTTTGTTACCATCAAAAACTGTTTGTTAACATGTACATGCTCACGGAATTCCAAACCTGTACGTTGAATACGAATCGGGCTTTGAATAATCGTACTTCCTCGCGTCCGCTTAATGATTTAGCCAGATCACTTTCTTGACGTCGCTCGTCGCGTTTACATATACCACTGAGACTCCGGCACGGTAGATACGTGACTGCTCTACGCGTGAATTCATGAGCCTCTCCGTAGCCTAAAATTACATATGTTCCTGAAGAACACGACGGCACGTCGGATTTTTCATTCCTCGGACGCTGTCTGCGTCGTATCCCCGTCCTCGCGGCTTTCACTGCTCGCTTTCTGCTCCTGCTCCTTTTGCGCCCGAGCCTCCGCGTCTGTTCAATAAAAAGATATGCATTTGTTCATATAAAAATTTAATAAATATATTATAAATCATTCTTAACATCAAGCATGAATTTTCAAGTTGATGTCATATTATAATTAAAATGGAATTAAAGAATTCATGAAAAAATTGAGTATGCCTCACAGGATATTTTAATATTGCACAAGTAAATCAATATCGACAAATGGATGTTAAATGAGAAAACGATTGAATATATGACGATACCTCGAACGGCTTGTTCCTTCCAAATTTTCTTGTTCTCAGCGAGGCAAGGAATCCAGGGCTTGCCGATCTTGAATCTTCTTTCATTTGAACCTGCGGATTATTCGTTGTGTGAATAGGAACGCGGTGTGTCGAGATGGAAGTAAACGAAACGCATTAAAGCGTGACACAGATAGGGAGGCTTTATCGCTCACCGTTGTTTGACTCGTCGACACTTTCCTTGACGTTCAACGGAGTGAGAACCGTCTCCAACATGTCACTGCACACCTGCATGCTCGGCTCAACGATAAACTCGATGAATCCTATTTGCGATTCGGCCACCAGCGTATTGTTGCGATCGCACAGCGGCGAGAACGGCAGCCCGAGTTCCTTTTCCTTGTCACCCTGCCTGAAGAACTCCTCCAGCAGCTGCATCGTCCATCTGTATAAAAAATAGGTACATCGAAATGCTTTAAAAATCCCTTCAAATATTTTAGTGGAAACAAAATTTGAAATCTGATCGTTTAACTTGTTCGTATAAAAGATAGTTCTTTTTTAATATGTAACAGTAAACAAAGTTATTCATTAAACAAAATGAGAATTGAAGGAAGATTTCGTGAAATGATCAAGAAAATTACTTAAAAGAAACTCTTCACAAACGAAGTATTTCTTTCTTCTTGCAAAATTTCATTAAAGAATATGTCAGAAACAAGATATTACTTTAACAACTTCATTTGTGAATTGGTTAAACTTGCACGATTTTAATTGAACCCAACTGTAACTTAAATTTTATTTATTTCCCCGTTGAAAACGACTGTTAAATTTATAAAACAATCGTAAAGTCGTACCTGTGATGAAGATCCCATCTTTTTGCCGGATGCGAGATGTCGCAGCAGTGGAGAACGAGGCTGACTGCCTTGCTCTTGTCGACGCTCGGCTCCGCCAGGCTGAGGATGTTCTTCATGTTCTTCAGCTGTTGGAAGTGAAAACTCATGTCGGTCGCGAGTACCATGTCGATCACCAATGATCGGAACTCGCGGAACTCCTCCCTCGATAAATTCTGCAGTATGTTGCACTCGTCCTCTCTCAGTATCCTGAAGAAATACTCTTGTTCAGAATTCAGATTTGATCCAGTCTATTAAAGTCATTTATTACAGCAATTTAATTACTAACTAGCGAATTAATTTTTATAACAGCATTGCATTAAATTTGTACATTCTTATTATTATCTTTACTATATTATGTATTCAATGATTTATAAAATGCTAATAACTATGGAATAAATATATTTTAAATGAAGTAAACAAGTTTTGATGGAACTTTGTATGAGAATTGAAATGAAGACTGATCATTGTAAATAGAATTGTTAACAATATGAAATTCGTACGTACCGGAAGCTCGCGGAGATGTGGTGATTCTCGAGCACAGCTCGATCGTTATAGAGGAGTGCCGTATCGCTGCCGGACATTACGTGGAAATTGTTTGTGGTCCCAGTGTGCTCGTAATCGTGAATAATCGCGGCCACCAGTGTAGCGAATATCTCTAGGTCGGTCAGCCAATTCTATGAAACAGAGAACTTCTATTTCTACTTTTTTCTATGGGAAATGATCGGAGCGAGAGAATCGGACGAGCTGAAATTTGTTTGCGACGCGTCCTGCGGGATTCGTTCGTTTTGCGCGTAGATACTTGAGAGACTCGAACGGGGAAACCGATTGTTTGCTAACTTTTCAACAACTAACTCCTGGCTGCAACACGATTGTCTAGTTCGAGAAACTGCGGTTAACTGGTTTTCTTCGTTCGATTCTGGTCTTTGTTCATCCATTTTTATAATATAATGAATCATCGTCATTATACTAAATTAGAACTTTTAGAGAGTAAGGGTTCTGCAACCCAAAAAAGATTTCTCCAATGTTGACCAGAAACAAAAGAAATTTAATTGCTACTATAAACCTCATTCGGAGACTTACCATAAGTCCCGTTTGGCATAAGATGTAATGCATGGTCTGCGCGACATCAGCTGCATGTAGATTATTGTGGTACGGATTCCGATGCCTGCAGTAACCCTCCTCGACCCTCCCCAAGAAGCATTCCAGCACCGTCGCTGGTACTTTGAATTTATGGATCATCCCATATCGATTTAGTAAATCATATCCGAGATACTTGACCGGCTGGCCCATCGCCGCCTCGCTCAACGAAAACAAGTCGAACGACCATTCGTCCAAAGTCTTTAATCAAAAGAAGATTAATTACAGTCTGTCCAGAACTCCATGAAATTGTAGACTATTATAAGTTCAATTATACATTCATTGAATTCAAAGACGAACTTATTGAAGAAACGAATGAATGAATTATCGCAAGAAAATTATTTTCTGTGTTCTTTTGTTTAAAACACGATGAATGCAGTTATTGATATCAATGAACGAACTTAGGATGATATACAAGATCATTCAAGAAATATATTTAATAAATGAAATGTCACTTTTGTGAAGGGCTGACTGGTTTCATTTATTAAGAATCAAACAATCTTCCGATCTATGTTTAGTAAAGCTTTTTTTCTCAGTACAGTGCATCCTATATACCATATAAATATTGAATGGTTGTTTTTGAACACCCTGTATAATATGAAAAGCTTCATGCATGCCGCAATTGTTTAAACAATGAAGGACAATGCTATTTAAATTACATTTTTTTAATTAATATCAAAACTGTGTCTTTTTGCACAAAAAACTGCAGTTTAGCAACAAGAATTCTCGGCAATGAATAGACGTTTATAAGGTTTGTACCTTGAGCACTTTGACCACCTCCTGCGGGAACTGCATGAGCGCGGTGTTCGTCACCCGCCTGTAGATCCGATCGACGAAGATCCCAGCTCTGATCGCGTGGGCGACCGAGCGGAACTTTGGTTTCTCGTCGGCCTTCCGCCTGGTAGTAGCGAGCTGCCTGGTGAACGTTGACGCCAGCCACTCGCGTACCTCCGGCGGCACCGCGTCCGGTTGCACCTCCGAGAGTTCGTCATCCTCGTCGGCCAGCCGCCTAAGGAAAACGAGTACCGGTTAAATGATACGCGGTGAGACCAGGGCACGATCGCGAATCGGCTCCGAATCACAATGGACAAACCCCCTACCTTTGCTAGTTCTCTCTTTTTTTTTTAAATTAAATTAAATATGCGTATAATTGTGGTCTCCCCTATTTAGAATACAATTCTTTCCCTCTCTTAACCGATTTCATCTTTTACGTTTCTTGATTTCTGTCCATTGAGTTATAAAGCTCAATGTTTCTCTGTGATAAGAAAAAAGAAACGCTCGGTACAATTGTTTTGAGGGTATTATTTTGTCACGATCATTTTTAAAAAATTGCGTTCTCACGCCTGAATTTGTAATTGATAAGTAAAGATAATTAGTATGATTTCTGAACATAGGTACCATGTGGATTTTGTTTCAAAGCAAAGATAATAATGGAAGTTGCATAGTTGCGGTTGGATACACTACCTAGTCATGTTTTTCTGTGTTTTTTTTTTACGGTTAATGGTTCGATGCAGTTGGGAACCATGTGAGAGGAGTTCTTGTACGTATTACACTGCTTTGTGCTGCGAGCATTTCTGGTGCGCTTTTGGAAACTGCGCTTCTGATTTTTATCTCTTTTTTTTATCGTGTATATGCAACTGTTGCATTTTTTTTCGATTCCCTTTGTACATGTTTGATAACTATACCGCAGAAACCGATTGATGAAAAATTTCACAAACTTCGTTTGATAAAAAAATTGTTCTTTAAAATTGTATATTATATGAAAACACCAAGTCGTAAT